GTGTGTGACTCTCCCTTGAGCACAGCTCAGTGGAGAATTTATCTCCTTATTAAGATCGACTCCTTCCACCTTTGCTAAAACAAAGAACCCAACCAACATCATCATTCTCTGCCAAAATTCTTCATCATGGCTTGATACCATTCATGATAACGAGTTATTTCTGGACAATAGTTGGCTTTCTCTTCCTCTGCATTCCTCACTGAACTGGTCCCTGAGTAGAATGATAACTCTTGTCCACCACTAAACACTCTGAGTGTAGCTCAGTGCCAGACATTCAAAGGCACCTGCTAACTAAACACAGTATCAAATGCAGAAATGAAGGAATGGATATATGAAGGAACAGGGTGTATGAGAGAAGAAGTAGATACCGAGGAGACTGACACCATTCAGAGTAATATGGGAAGATAGCTTAAAATAAACAGCATCTGGATTTGCCTTCAGCAGCAATTTGGAGAATAGTGGGAAGAAAGGATATGTCCTACTATTGTCCTCAAGTTTCAGATAAAACTGTGAAGGCAGACACATTGAGTAACTGCACCGGGTCAAAAGTGCGAGCGACACCAGTGGAGGTGTTAATGATCCCTTGTTTGAGGAATAAAGACTGGTGCCAATCAGGTTACTAGTGCCACTGCCCATATGTAATTAATTCTTACCCAGAAGCTACACATGCATTAAGCAACAGAGAATAGCTTTGGACTAGTTCGTAGCACATCCCTGCTATTCTCCCCATGTGTGCCTTCACCCATCCTCTCTTTGTATGGCTTCCAGTTTATTAAAAGATGTAAGCCTGAGCTCAAAATCAGTGAGAGAATGGAAAATTCAATGCTTGTTTTATATGGACCAATGGTATAGAGCCATGAAATCATGTTCTTGGACTAACTCCAATGGCATAGACCCAGCCTGATGAATCTGTTCTCCGGTACAATAAAAAGTTCAGCCCCAGAGCAAATATCTGAGTGCCTATTGTATTTTCATTTTGAGTGAGGACTCCTCTAGCCTGCTTCCAGTTCAGACACAGAAATACCCATTAGAATCAGCACACACGGAGGATGCTGATGTTACATCGAGAATTGTTGGCTTGTCGCTGGATCAATGATGCTCTTAAAGCACTCCAGATGGCAAAAGTTCATTCTCTACGTTTACACAGGGGTCTCATCTGGCTAACTCTCTTGCAACAAGGTCTAATTAAAACTCTGAAGTTGATCTTCTACTGTTAACTGCTATGATAAATCATCAATGATCAAATCCAAAAGTCTATGAGGATGTGTTGGAATGACTGTATGTAATGAAGTAGACAGAGTTGGATGATTTACACTGTCCGGAAATGTCTGAATCTTAAATAAGGGTATAGGTTGAGCTTGCCTCCATAGAAAAACAGCCCTAAAACGCCCATTCTGTTGGTGAAATGAGACTAATCTAAGTGGAAAATTTGTCCTATAATTTTGATCCAGCCCAATATCATTCCATTCTCATCCCATTACAAATGCTACCCCTTGAACTTTTAATTATTATTTACACACTGTGACACTTAATGAAAATGGAAAGTAATGTACAATAGTGAAAACAAGTCAGAAACGTAAAAAATAAAACCATGTTTATTAAAAAATACACGCATGTACAATGGTACAATGAATATGGTTTACACAGAACAATACAACACAAATGGTAGTTTTTAAATGCCAGTATAAAATGATCTAATCTATTTGGGCTCATTTCCTAGGTATACACATTATTGGTCTAATTTATTTAACATTAAAAGAAAACAAATGTCAACTTTCAAATGAGTACCTCAAGAACCTGAGAACACAATATTAGGTTCAATGAAATAATGACCTGTTTATGTAAGAAGTCATATGGATTGCATGTATGGCACATGCATATATGGCACATGCATGTATGGCACATGCAATTCGCAAGGTCTACAGATATCTGCACTCTGCCTTTTAGAAGTAGGAAAGCTCTTTACAACAGGAAATGGTTTATAATGTTGATAATGGTATAGAAACATCACTGTATATGTATATACATAATTTTGGTAAGATTGGAGTCACTAATGTCTCCCAATGACCACTACCACAGCAGGCCATCTTGGAAGATATGCTAATGGGTTGTATCCATTTCTCACTTGTGAAGTTTAGATGTTTTCAGTAATATCATGTCTGGTTTCTTAGGACACATCATTGATCTCAGGCCTTCTTTGTTTTGATATTCACTTTTCAGTGTACTGCACTTGTGAATGTTTGTCCTTTCAAATGTAAAATTCTATGCTTGAATTAAAAATAAAGGTTAAAAAAAGCTCAGGCATGATTGCATGGGCCACTTGGGGCTTAATATTATTCTATAATTTTTTCATTTTACTTTGTTACAAATAGCTAGACTTCATTTATTTCTTTAAAATCAAAAGTGTCTAAAGACTTTTTCTTACTTGCTCAGAAATTAAATTCAGCATGATTAACATGCACCATTTCTCAGAAAGAAAGAAAAGCAATTTTTATTCCTTAATTTCATACTTAATTGGCTTGTCATATTTTATCTAAAACAGCAGTTTTATTTCCCTAGCTTTATAAAGGTCAGTTTTTGTTATAGGTAGTATCTTTGTGTGTGAAGGTCTAATTTCAAACTGCCAGAGAAAAAAGAGATACAATATATTGGCATTTTCTGCCCAAAGCTGAGAAACAGTTTAAGGGTGGAGGAACACAGCTCCGAAAGATGGCAGCTGGGCCAAATAAATGTGAATTTATGCTAAAATGGTCCATCAGCTACTCAGTTCTTAGCAAATTATTCTTTCCAATAGTACACAATTGGTAAGGCTTCCAGCCAGGCCGGATGCTTTTGCTTCCTTCCATAACTGCTGAAGAGAGTTTTCTCAGACCAATTTCTTAAATTTGTAATAAAAGATAATTTATTCCTTTACAGATTGCAAAATGTGGACTGTATATGTTGATGTAAAACAATGTACCACCCTGCTTGGAACTCAACCACCTACAACATCTGTCACGCTTTACTACACTGCCAGAGTTTAATTCATTTAATACAACAGTTTGGGTTTTGAGTGAGCTATATTTATTAGAGTCTGGGCATAGCAATGTTACTGTTTGCATACTTTCAGCAAATGTCAAAATTATAAGCTTAAAAATCAATATGGTAAGCACGTTATTGATTTCCCTAGTCTACCCCTGAGTCCTTGCTCACACTAGGGCTTCATGCTGTGGAAGCACATCAGTGGTGGGTTTTTTAATGCACCCCTACAATCTAATAGCTTACTTATAATTACAATTCATACCTTACAGACTAGTTGGAGTGTTTACAGAGGATAAAACTCCCAGTAAAATTACAGCTGTCTGAAAATGACTTATCTTATTTAATGCCATTTTAATAATTCATCTTGCTTCTGATTCTTTGTTGTATCCAGCAGAGAAAAATAAGGTGCACCAATATATGATTAACAACCCGATTTCCAGGGCCGAATGCCCTAGTTTACTATTTGACAGTTTCTGTTGTAAATATTCCCATAGTGGCTACTTTCAGGGTATTCAGGGTACCACTATGATGATCCTAAATGAAGAGTGAGAAAGAGCTTCACAAGAGTGTCTTATTATATAAGCTTCACACCGAGCCTCACTCCTCTCAAAGCATAAATAGCAAAATTCAGTGGAAGAATTAGGAAGCAGTAAGCAAGCTTTGATTATATGTTTTTTCTTAATAAAATCTATCCAATTATGTTTCATAATTTTGTGTTAATCATGATTATGTTTAGCAACAAGAGGACAGAATGCTTGAAAATTTCACAATCAACTCTCAAGTACAAAACAAAACCCAGTTCCAACATACCAGCATGATCATGTCTCTTGGCAGAGTCTCAACTCCTACACAGAGAAAGATTTGATTTACTTTGGAAGCAAACCATTATTCTATACACATCACAAGACTTTTTCTCCCCTCTTCTAACTTGTCTTATATTTTCTGAACAACACCAGAGTAAATGTAAAAATAGAGAAGTGCCCTCTCTCCAGTGCTAGCCTTCAGAGTTTCCAGGTTCTTCAGAAGTGGTGTTAGTCTTATGAATGGCTCCCACTGATGAGTGGACCATTTAAAAATAATTGACCGCTTGGATCAAATGGTTATTGTGACTCCATGGATGATAAGACTCACCATAACCATCTAAAAGGATGCACTAGCAGTGTGTAGCGAGAACTCGAGGCAATATTTTAAAAGAACAAAAAGACACAGGAGAAATTAATGAACAGGTGAAGCTAAGTATGGGTCTGTCTCTGCCAACATTTAAAACATCTCTTCACCAGACAGGGGAGACATTTCTACATTTTGGACCTTTTCATTCTGTGTCACTCATAATGGTGGTTGTACCTTTTTGTGTCTCTAAATACATATTTCCCCCCTCCTGGAACCCTGTAAATCATCAATTTGGACTTGATACTGTATTGATGACAGTGGAAGGAAAACATAGTCTTTAGCCCAAATCTATGGTGCTTGAACATGTCACTTCCTGGTTCCTTTTTGGCTTACTGTGATCTCTAATAAGTCTGCTGATTGACCTTGTAAATGAAGGTGTCAGGAGAAAAGCATGGGAGACTTAAGAGGTTTGTTTTTAATTTCTTTCTGTTGTTGTTTCACATTTGGTTCAGAAAGTTTTGATAATAACACATAATGAAGTGCTTGTCCAAGTATACTTTTTTTCTACTCTAAATTTCACTTTTAGTTGATACAGTGACACTGCTTAATGGTGGATTTTCCTAATGATGCACTTTCAGAAGTAGGCAAACATGTACCCTTGTCTATTAGGTAATGGTGAAGATTATGCTAATACTGAATAAAAATTCACGTGAATTTTTATTACAGTAAGGTCCATTCTTCAAGACTTCTACATTGGTATTTATTTTAAAGAGAAGGAAATCATAAAATGTTACCTAAAACCCAATAGTTGGCTTCCTCATTTTTTTTCAAAATTTGACATGAGGTTGTTTTTTTTTTAAATATAAGAATTACTGTTTAAATCTTTAAACACTGGTAAATCAAATGACATCCCCTGGGATTCAGACCATCATTTGATATTCTCAACAAATTTTATAGCTATTCTAGAAGATCTCTGTCATCCCTACCACTCTACCTTAAATTCAATGGGATAGTGAAAATAACCACAGACCCTTCCATTTGGAAACACAGCAATTCAAAGATTCTACTTAAATGGAGAATGAATCTTATCAGAGAAGCCTACGATATTTTTTTCATTGAACAAATCCAGCATATACAGAACATTTTCAATTAAAGAGCTATAAACAGTTTGGCAATTGTTACAGCATACCCACAGGTCATTAGATAACATGATAATTCTAACGTGGGAAGGCTCAGTATTATCCAAAGTTGTGAGCGATTTGAACAACTCAACATGGAACTAATGATCTGTTTGAAATTCTTATTTTAACAGGCATCACTGATATAGAGCTCATATTAACTATGCATTGGATGTGGTTTCACCTAAAAGATATATTAATAAGCCCTGGTATTTCCAAAAGATGAAGAACAAGATTTATTTTTCTGAATGGCATACTCCAATCATGAGAAACAGAAAACCCACATACATCTGGAAAAATACAGGTTTCATTTATTCAGATTTTATTCTCTAAATTTCAATTCCACTTGATAAATCCTAATTTTGTTGTCAACTCTTCTTTCTGAATTGGCATGCGTAGTTAGCATAGCAATGTAGAAAAGAGATGAGTCATAAGTTAGGAAGGTAAAAGAAATAAAATAAAACAAAGGAGGGATTGTAATGGAGAGTCTGCAATATTCGAACCAGGCCTCTGGTCTTAGTTTACCAATGTGTGAATACTAGTTCTCTGTAGGATGATCTCTAAGGCCACGACTAATTTGGCACTTGGGAAAATTTATCAGTGGTGTTATTTTAAAGAAGCTGAAATTCAGCTAAACAGAAATGTGTGCTCCTTGGTCACGGTAGCTGCATAGATCTTACAAGTATATTTATCCATACTAACCTATGTGGCGGTGGATTGCAAATTCACATCAAGGTGACTGTGAGGAAACATCTGAAAGATCTCCTGAATTTCAAGGTGTAAAGTTTGAGCTGATGGGGAGTCATCAAGAGATTCCCCAACTCTCACAGCCCTGCAGCGTTGTGCCGGTTGTATCATCAAATAGTCTGTATTGTCACGTTATCTCAAACTCACACAACCCAAGTCAGAGTTTTGACAACACCAAACTAGTGCTGAAGTGTGTTCTCCCTCGTCACTTACAGGAGCGCCACAGCTGGACAGAACACAGACACAGCTGCAAGCTGTCAAGAACACGAGTTACAGTCTCCTAGTGTAGGTTTACCAGGAAGAGACTTCATACCGGGCCCCCAATAGGCTCTAAAGTGATCTGATATCAAGAAGCAACCCATAAATTCTTGTTCTCATTTTCCCCGCTCACTCCCTGAATCGTATTGGCCACCTGGGTGGGCCCAGAACACTTTTTACTCAAATCCTCCACAAGTGAAGTTTACCCTCTCTCCTTCCAACCAGTGAGCTTCAGCACAAAGGGGCTGGGAAACAGAAATGACAATGTTACACGAGGCTTGGAGCGGCCTATGCCAGGCATGATTGGTAATTCCTCAATTTGGGCAAATGCTTCCCCTTCCTTAAAAAAAAAGAAAAAGAAAAAAACCATCATAGAGAGATTTTTCCAACCAAAACGTATTTGCGTTTCTGTTTATTTACATGATGGTAAACTTAGGTGTCAGCTTTTCCGTAAGTCCCTTCCGGAGGTCGGTAGCACTTGGGGAAAGCCATCAGCTGCAGCATGTTGAAAGCATACTTCCTGCATTTGATATTCTTCAGTACATTCTCTATGCGGCAGCCTTCTCTGGTGGAAGGGGAAAGCACAAGCTCATGAAACACGGGATACAGAAATATGCTTTATTTGTTCAATGCAGAGTTGCAGCAACAGTCCCAGTAAAAATAACAGAGAGTCAACTCTACATTTGTTTGTGTGTTTGTTTTCCACAAGTGATGATACATCTTACAAAAGTAAATCCCAGGCCAGGCCCAATACCTTTCTTTATTGCCTTCGCAAAGAGATATCTAACGCCTCTTTATATTCTTAACAGACATGTCAGGTTTCATAAATTCTTTAAATATAATTTACTCCACAATACAGTTTCACTTGAGTTTCATAAATATATCTGCCTTTGTATATCTTTTCCACAAATTAATTTGTCAGTCTCTTTAAAACACATTAAAATCTATATGTAGCCCTAAGGATGCAGTTTCTAGGAATAATAAGGCATTATATTGATTAAATCTGGCCCTATAGATTTTTTTTAAAGGAAAGTTTCATCTCTATTTTTTTTACTTCAATATTTTAGCTGTGCAACAAAGAGAACATGGCTTTCTGAGGAACCTGGTCCAAGTCTCATCTTTGTGACGGAAGAGTTCTTGTCCCCAACAGTACAAAAGTCACAGGTGCTAAAAATGGCGCATTGAGACACAAGGAGACCTTGTTAGAAAGAATAGAAAAGTACTCTGAAAGCCAAATCAACCCAAACAATAGTTACAAACAGGATAATTTAATTACAAAACATAAATAGCCATTCTCTTCATAAATGTATGTGACAGAAAAGGGTTAATTAAGTGCAGCAAAGAAATCAGACAACAGGTTCAAAGACCAAAGGGGAGTTTCTATCCAAGATGGCAAGTACGTTATAAGCACAGTGGAAAGAAAAGTCTGGAACCTCCCTCATCCTGGGGGCATAGCTCAGGGTTTTAGTCCAGTTGTGCAAATTTAATCTCAATTCCTTTTAATAAATTGAATGGTAAGAGGAAGAGGAGGTTCAGAACTTCAAGCTTTCAGGATTCTGTTCTTTGTCTTATTTCAAAGACAATCATTGGGAAATTCTTCTTGAGCTAGTGAACAGTGGGAAAAATGTGTTACCAGGAACAAAAGGGCAGAGGAACTGACATATGCATAGTACTTTTTGTTCTGTAGAGTTTAGGAAAACAAACAAAAACACAAAGCCAACATTTTTTTTGTTTAAATTCAGTGAATCTGAAAATGTAGAAATAGTACAGCATTGTCTCCCATAATTTAAAGTCCATTGTCATTTGTAAAAAAAAAAAAAGAATACAACATAAAACTTATTGGTATTTGGCTAATAGTAATGCGAGACTTAAAATAAGCCACACAACTAGCAGGTGTGAGCTGACAAGCAGCAAGGCGACAGGGTAGAAGTGTCGAGAAGTTGGCTTGTTATCAGTTAGACAGCCTGTTTCCGGATCATCGGATTCGCTCAGCGCTCCCTGGGCTTGTCTGCTGTTAAACAGGGAGGAGTTAGAGGAGAGAAGAGAACAGGATAGCATTCACAGAGCAAAGCATTCAGCCTTAAATACGCTAACATACAGCACACGATCATCCGCATATTTCACATGGAATTTTCATGCTACCTAAATTCAGTGGCCTCCAGTGCATGCTTGCATGGATGGCTCAGCCGACTATGGGGAGCTGGTGTTATTGGCAAAAGGTGATTCCTTTTGTTCTGTCTGCGAGAACAAGTTGGCTCTGGGGCTGAGTCCTATGTATAAGGAAGACTCAAATCAGAGTGATAGCCTCATTACGACTGCATGGACACAACTAAAATACAGATCAACTCATAAAGGGAAGCTCATCAATACATCTTTGGGAGAGGACGTAAGGATGAAATGGAACAGGGCAGATGGGAGCATATGGATATGTCTGTCACATTCACATGCTGCCTCTTCTGTTGGTATACCTGTGTAATACATTTAAAATTATATGAATGATTTACTGAGATGGGTTGGTGTCTAAAATGAATGAAGCATCTGACATGCCATCTTGCCAGCCATACTATTAGTTTAACACACACACAGCTCTGAGCCTTCCTGTTAATCCAGCTCATGAACTCGTGAATTATTTTTGTCCCCTGCTGATCTTAGTCCCCTATGGACTCCTGATCTGGAAAGAAATGTATATTTACAAGATCATAGTTCAGAAAATAGAGGTTTTAAAGTCCCAATTCCCAGATTGTTTATTTCCTGCCTAAGTAAACAACAACAACAAATCAGGTTTTGCCTAAATGCAGCTCTAAGGACAAAATTAGATGACACTTCTGAAATATGTCACAGAGATGGGAATTGGGATAGTTCCCTAGGACTCAGAGCATGGAGAATTCCAACCACAAATCAGAAGTGATTTAATCTCTATGTGATCCTCCTACATTTTGAGACAGATAATGGGTTGTTGACTTTAAAGGAAACTTCTGGGAAGTGGCACTGTAGCTCAAGTGGTAGAGCACTTGCCTTGAGCTGAAGAGCTCAGGGACAGCGCCCAGGCCCAGAGTTCAAGACCCACAACTAACAAAAAAAAAAGTCTCATGGAAACTTCTATCTATAAGCTTCTTAACCCTGGGTCCTTCACAATGTGGTACAGTCTCTGAATTTTTTCTCCACAGTCATTTTTGACCAGGTGCTGACTTTACCAGTGGCCACATTTGGACAAATAGCAGCACTAATTATCTCAATTTGTGTGTGTGTGTGTGTGTGTGTGTGTGTGTGTGTGTGTGTGTGCCAGTACTATAGCTTGAACTCAAGGCCGTGTATTTTTGCTCAGGTTTTTCACTCATAGCTGGTGCTCTACCCTTTGAGATATACCTCCAGTTCTGACTTTTGCTGGGTAACTAGAGATAAGAGTCTGGAGGATTTGTCTGTCCAGGCTGGCTTCAAGTCATCATCCTCAGAGCTACTATGAAGGCTCAGGTTAGTTTTACTGAGGCAATGCACGACCCAGGACTGGCTGTCTAGGTTGGTGGAGAAGGAGCCTGAAGGCTCCATACAAACTGGAGAGAAGGAAGGAAGAAGGTTGAACAAGGAGGTTGAACAATGGCACAGTCCTGGGCCATCCCAAGCAATGTAAATCCTGAAAAGGATCTCAGAGCTGGAGGGCAGCGGTTGGCATTTCCCCTCTGAACACCACCAAAGTGATCTGCCAAGCAAGATGCATGAATCCAACAAGAGACCCATGGGGGTGGGGGGGGGGACAGAATCAGAACTGCAACCCCAGCACTCTGTGCCTGCTCCTTTCCAAATTGCTTCTTTGAGCCGGACATGGTTGTGCATGCCGGTCATCACAGCACTCAGCAAGCTGAGGCAGGAAGACGGGCAGTTTGAGGCTATCCCGTACCACACAGCCAGACAGTATCTCAAAGGAACAACCTAAAAGTCATCTTTTTGTATGTCGCATCGGCCGTGCGCTGGCAGAAGGGTACAGGTAGAGGCAGCTGCTATAGCAGATCAGAGCCCAGACTCCCGAGTTGACAACCTGTACTAAGACCCTTTCTGTCACTTGCTAGTACACTGGCCCTGGTGAGTTATTCAAGGTCTTTTCCTTCTCTGTGACATGATGGTAATAACAATAACGCCTACATCATAAAACAAATATGATATAACCTACCCCAGTTAATAGTTACAAATTTCTTAGGACAGAAAGGGCATCCCAAGCATTCAAGAATAGATATTATTTTATATCTTTGTGTAAATACACCACACACACACACACACACACACACACACACACACACACACACACACACACACACACCTTGCTACTCTAGATGGAACTTTTTAAACTTAGAAGGGTACAGAACCAAACGAGCCAGCATGCTGCTGCTTTTCAAAGATGATTGTGCTGTGAGTCAGCACGGGATGAGAACAGATGAGTCATGTTTACTTGGATCTACAGTACTTACAATCTGTAGATCATAAGTTATTTGTGCACCACTCTAGTGGCTACACTCAAATAAACTTCAGTTACCAAATCTGCCGTTCTAAAGTCTGACTGTAAAAAATAAAAAGGGAGGTTAAAAATAACTGTTCTGTCTCACGCCTGAACAATACCAGGAGCTAAATGTTCTTCTTCTCAAAGAAGTTTACTTCACCTGCACTAATTGTGTGTGTCTGCTGCAGGGTGGGCATGTGGGGGCAGCGGAGATGAGGCTGGGGCAAACAGCCAAGGAGGCTGGATAGATGTCTCTAAGGTCCTCTTGGATTCCCGGATGTTCAAAGTAAGGAGAGATGCTGGAATGAAGAAGTCTTGTTTCCTCTGCTGTGCCTCCTACCAGCTACCCAGCGCAAATTCTCAATCTGTTTCTACTGAAGCTCATCATATGCACAGCAATGAGGTTTCTGGAAAAGACTAAGTGGGATAATGTATAAAAAATATTTGTAGCTGGGCACTGGTGGCTCATGCCTGTAATCCTAGCTACTCAGGAGGCTGAGATCTGAGGATCACAGTTCAAAGCCAGCCCGGGCAGGAGAGAGCGTGAGACTCCTATCTCCAATAAACCACCAGAAAACCGGAAGTGGCGCTGTAGCTCAAGTGGTAGAGCGCTCGCCTTGAGCTGAAGAGCTGAAGGACAGCGCCCAGGCCCAGAGTTCAAGCCCCATGACCGACAAAAAAAAAAAATATTTGTCACAGTGCCAGGCAAAATCCAAGGTGTGTATAAATATTAGTTATTATAATTATTGTTAATGTCGTCTTTGCTAATGATGTTTCCAGATTTGTCCAATTTTAAAGCAAAGTTTAGCTAAAGCAAATCCTAACTAACATTGGTTTTTCTCCAATGTTTCATGTTAGAAGAAAAAAATGGATCTATCTATCTATTTATCTCTTCTATCTCTCTGTTTCTATCACCTATTGATCACCTATTATCTATTTATCCACCATAGGGTACATATTACATGCTGATTGAAAATTCATGTTAGGATATTAGCTACAATTTATTAATAGAGTAATATAAAAAATAGTCCTCTTCCCAGTAAGGTAATGCTATTAGTAGACCATGGCTGACCAAA